CTTCCATGTGCAGCTCCTTCAAAAATTCAAACTCCGATGGCATAGAATGCGAAGATCTTGTCTTCCTCGACCATTCGAGATCTTCGGTATAGTGATATGGTAGAAAGTTACCCTTTTCATCAGTATCAAACGGCCAGAAACCAAACAGATGCATTTCTTCGCAGTGTGTAAGCGCTAAACTGAACAACATCAACCCTGTAGAAAATATAGTGTTCTAATGAATCTATTGAAACGTACATACCAATTATTGTGGTTTGGGCAACATATGTGTAATATGGCTATGTTGTGAAGAAGTGGTCTCACATAACTGAAAAATTGGGCGACATTCGTCAAGACAGAAACACAAACACATTAAATATCCCTAATTGCTCAACATAAAGTAGCTGGCATGGCACGTATGCATACATAAATCGTAATAACTTTCTTTAATACATTTATCATTGGAATTAAAGTAACATTTCAGGGCTATACATGATTCAATATTGGCAGTTTGAAATCAAAAATAATTCAGAAGTAAGGCATGGATTGTGAGAGACAACTAATGTTGTATATACATAACGAGCATTCACATAACGACATGCAGCGGGAGATTCAACGCGCTAACCACTCCACAAACTGACCAAATACACCCCGACAGCGACTGTATATTATGTCAACTTTACATTCATTGGTACGTCCTGTGAGATTTATCACAACACTGATAAACCATGTTCGAAACTTAAGGTAGAGATGCAGTTTATCTGACAGGTATTTTAATTAGTTAATTAGAAAACCAAGATGACCTCCCTTGTCCACAAAACTATATATTTACGGAAAGCCTGCTGTATGAATTTTTAAACTTTGTTAGTATTTTTTGTTATGGACACTGTAGTTTGAAATATGCACAAAAATGTGCTTTTTTGGTCAAAAGTGATTTTAAAAAAATAGCTTCTAAACCATGCTTCTGTTTCCCGTCAAAATTGGTTTACGGGTACAGCTGTTTACTATGAAGAAATTGCCATCTTGAAAACTGTCTACCAGTTGTCAATTTTGCAGGGCAGCAGCTCCAATTTCACTACTTCAAGTTTATGCATAAATTAACACCCAGGCTAATTGTCTGTACGATTGTTGTAACACTGTTCAACCAACAACGGCGTTTTGAAGATAAACACATTGTCAATCATTTGTGAAAATTTCAAAACAAAAGGTCAAAGCGTCTAGGAGCTAGTTCTGGGATGTGCACTAAAAAGAAGCTGAGATAATTGCTAATTTGCATAACAATTCACTCAGTAAGAAGTTTGCTAATGCTCATAATTAAAATGGCTGTAACAGTTTCAAACTTAAATGTATTATGATTTTGTAAAAAGTTAAATAAAGTGCATAATATGGAGATCCCGTCATTTCTTGTTTTCACCATGTGTCTTTTTTATTATTTATGTACAGCCTTTAAAATCGTCTATCGAGTATGTTCCACTTTTCACAATTCTACAAAATGTTAACAGTCTATAGATAAAACTGTTTGGATAATAAAAAGCCAAAAAAAAAATCACTCCCAAGTGCCCACGAACCTGCATCTCTACCTTAACCGCGAGTTGACAACATGTCTATATCAGCGATAGTTAACATACCTGAAGATACACTCTTATTGAATTTCCAAAGTTCTTTCAGTGAATACAAGTACGTATAATCGAGTAGAAAAACATTTAACGTGGTATTCTGTTTCACGTGAGCATGGAAATCTGTGTAATTTCTAGTTCCACTGAACATTAGAATGCCTTGGTATTCATTCAAATCTTTATTAAATGCTGTTCTATCGTAATTGTACCTACAATAACAATTACGGTTATAAATTAAATTAAAAAGCAGCAAGCGTTGTTGGTTATGTCTAAGCTTTATTGAATATGACACGTGATTAGTAAATAATTTAGGCCTACAACATCGATCAGTTAATAGACAATCTTCTATATTTAGTGCCATTCTGTTTGTGATTGCTATTGGCAGTGGCTTTATTCGGTAAATCCGACGAAGACTATCCCGTCTTTACTCAGACCGCACTATTTAATTTCCCGTATATATAACTGAACCATCTTAGAATTACATTCAAGTTAATTCCAATGATACTTCCAAGCAAAGCATATCTCACACGAAAAGTATAACAACGTGGAGAAGTTTAACAATATATATATTATAAATTTGGAACATGTCATCTTTCCACAAGTATGTAAATTATTCGATAAACTAATTTCAATATATGATTTGTACAGTAAATCAAATAGCAGTATCCAAGTGAAACACATGAAACAGTAACATTACTACACTGCACAACCGTATAGTCTCACCTGCGGCTAATCATACTTGGATTGAAAGTGGTAAAGTTTGTTTTCTTTCCTGCGTCATCAGTAAAGTTTCTAATAGAAGGAAGATTTGCCCTACAAAACAAAACAAATTTATGGTATGTTTAGTGAGTCATGAGCATTTTCCTATTTGATTAAATACAATACAAACATTTGAGTATAAAACACAACAAATCTGAAATCATTGAATATTTCTTCTCTATGATAAACACGTGTTTTTATTTTTGTTGTGTGCTGAGTGTTTTTGACGTGCGATGCTAGGTATACGATGCTAGGGATCTCCTTCCCAACCATAACAATGTTTCTGAATAATAACTATGTATAGCTACAACTATAAAAACTCATAGCAAAGCCGCAAATAGGTAAACAAAGTGATGACGTCATTCATAAATTAAATAATGCAGTAATTATAATCGCCTTCACCTGAGCACGTAATCAGCTCTGTCGATTTCTTCTCCACAGCCACTGTCTTTTAGAATACCTCCATTTCCAACAATACTACATCTTTTATACATGGTGCTATTTAAGTGGAATTTCTTCTGTGAACAGGGTAAACCAAAACAAATACAATGACATGTTATGATTTATGTTGGTCAGTTTTTGTATCTGAACTGATTCCTGACAAGATACTCAATATGTTTAGTCAACTTCCAAGAAATGACCCAGTGATAGGGTCAACCATATTAATGTAAAGTGAAAGTGACCTGGCAAGGCACATCAAATAGGAATGTTCTGAAATAGTTAGAAAGTTATATATATATATATATTACCTCAACATATGTAGGTAAATTGTCAGCATAAAATAACTACAGCTTGAACAATTGACCAGTTTGACTGACATGAATGCATTTTGAAATATCATAGCGGCTACTTGGGGTGGAAGTTACAAGCATTGTTTAATAATTGCATGGAAATATTATCTTCTATTAGATGAAATTCCAATAAATGAATTAATGCTACATGTATGTAATATAATAAAAACTCTGAGGTTAGGATATATTATATAATTTCCGGAATGTGCCACGTGATTGTAAACGCCCTTATTTGAAGTGAGTGTGCGATATTAAATCGAGTCATCTATACAATGATAAAATAATGCATACCACGAAATAATCAAGGAAGGCGCTCGATTCCAGCTCAGCTTTTGGAAAACACAACCCGGATACATGTTTGTGTAAAATGTTCCTGCAAAATACAGATCATATCATTGGAATTTAAAAATCATCACTACCCATAAGATTTTACAAATACTCAAGTATATAGTCAATCGTATGTATTAAACTATTAACTACCTCATTTCATACAGGCGAGTTTTGTTGAATGTCCAATTTTTCACATCTCGGATAGCATTTTGTTTTATCTTCCGACTAACCTTGCTGTGTTTGCTAGAATAAAACGAAAGTATTACTATTCCATGTATATTAATTACGCCAAAAAAACTTATGTTGCCCTCAAGTCGGAAAATTGGGTCGGTCGGTCGGTCGGATTTTTTTTTCAGAGAAATACAGATCAACCTGAGGTTCAAAGTCGCCATTAATCCCCCGGGACCCTGGGGATAAAACAACGGTCCGGGGTCGTTATTTTTTAGAGGAAACACTTGTTACTGCTTAAATGGTGAGTTGTTTAATATTTCGGCCTAAAAAAAACGAGACCCGATATATCATATTTTTCGGTCGGTCGCTGAGGGCAACAAACCAATTTCTTGACCTTATACTAAAAACATGTATGCAGAAATGACCACCAAATCATTACGTTGATGAAACTTTCTGGGACCAGAATGTTGCTGTATGGCACGCAAATAGCCACAACTGTGAACTACTACATACAGCTTGCCCCTGGGTGTGAAACCCGAAAGGTTGCTTCGCAGGAACGTTGGTTGAAAATGTCGTACTCGAGTACAGTGTTTTCCATTTTTTTTCCATAGTTTTTTTTTTATCCGAACATTAAGCACTTGTTTTCTTTCATTTTCATAAGATAACAAAATAAAAGAAACTATTATTATGTATTTTTAAAAAAAAGTTCGAACAAATGACGCTAGCGAGGTCTGGCATTTTTAATCACACATACAGTGACAAATTTATCAATTTAAAGATCTGGAGTCAGTTGTATATACTGGTTTGTGTGAAAGAGCTGTTTGAATTATTTTCTAATTTATATAGTCTTAGTACCACACATTTCTCATAAATAAACACATTCGTGCAAGAAGGGATTGTTCAAATAATCATTAGACTTGCAATCACTATCAGTATGGGGCATACATCCAGGGCGCCAACAACTATAACACACCACTAGATACTGGTTGAAGCAACTGTTGGTCAAGAGCAATCCCTTATTTAGCTAGAATTGTTTCAACCCGAATGTCTAAATGATCTGTTCAGTATATAGATCATGCCAACTTACTGAAATTCACACTATATGCTACAGTATACAAAACGGTTCTGAATAAATTGTTTCGCATTTTCAAATACGGTCAGTAAAATGCTCTCATTAACATTTGTACATCGTTTTATAAATTGAAGTGGGATGTAAGAATGCATGTATATTATTGTGCCATGATTTAATTTTTAGTTACTTGGATGGCGTAACATTTTAATAAATTCAATCAAAATGGAGAATAGTCATTAAAAGGTT